TAAGTGCTTTACTATAATCACTAAAAAAATCAGGCTTAACTCTCATCGACAATTAAGGAGCAAACAAAAAGAAGACTGGGTAAGTACTTTATTTCTTGTTTTTCATATTTATTATTATAAAAGTAACCAAAATTAAAACTATGGATCTTTTTTTAAGTTATGTAAGACTAGATTAGATAAAATAAGTAATAATGATAATATAATTAAAATGGTTCACGAGACAGCATGTAAGCAGCTAGCTCGTGGGTAATGCAATTCAATAGCATAGCATGAGCTGCACATTCCCAGAGTGATTTAAAACTTATAATGGCAGGGATAGCAGTTAGACAGGGTTCAAAGGGAAATAAAACAATAAAATTTAATTATAAATAGATGTATAATGTTACAAACTTAGAGCTACTTAGGATAAACAAATGTAGTTTCATGTTACAATTTGAAGTCAGTCTAGAAAGAAAAGAAGGTTAATTTAGGTTTATTTCAATTTTGTTTTATGGTTACGAGGTTGGTCGAATTGACCAATCCCATTTTGAAATAGCATACAGAAAATAACATGTAAACTATAAGGATTTAATGAAAAAAAAAACGTTTGAAATGCATTTATGAGGTTTTAAAGATTACACAAAGGAAATTTGAGATTTTTGAGATGATGAAAATTATTTTTAATTTTAATATGAAAATTACTTTGCACACGGACTATTCAAAACAAATACTGAATATATTCATGGACAAATCTTTATTTTATTTTATCAAAAATACTTCACTAAGAAATATGACTTTTTGTATGTGAAAGACTTGTAATATCAATTGAAAGACTGCCAAATTTCACGAAGATATACCCTATATATATATACATATATATATAGTGAGTTATAAGTATTAAATTTATATCAACTTTAAACGAGTACAAAAGGTCCTGTGTTGTGATAGTTAAGCTTTTACATGCAAAGAATACATCAGCTAAAAATGATATTCAGGAAGTTAGAAAGAGTACTATTAGGGCTAAAACTAATGGAATTAATTGTAGTGAGCCTATTCTATTAAGCAACAGATTTCAACCCTTGGCTTCTGCAGAAAAAAGAACTATTGGAGGGAAGGAAAACAAAATGGTCAGAGAAGGATGTAGATGATAAGAAGTTTATAGTTACAGGTGATTCCTTGAAAAGGCATGTGTATAGAATAGTCTGTGAGGTAAATTGGGGGAAAAGAATTAGATTATGCTACCCAGGGGCATAGATGGAGAATACAACTGATAGTGCAGGAGATATAATAAAGGGGGGCTATCAGAGATGCAGTTTTTGTTGTGCATGTATGGGCTAATGATGTAGAGAAAGGTAGGTCAGAGGGGTTAATCAATAAGTGCAAGGGGTTGATAAAGGCATTTAAAGAAAAAAAGACAACTTAATTTCGTCAGCGATATTGCACAGAATTAACTGTGTGGATGAAGTTATAAGTAGATAACGAGGGCTAAATTCTAATCTCACATTAGTATGTACGGATGAGCAGATTGGCTCGTTGGACTTTGGAATCAGTTCAATGGAAGAAGGGAATGGATGGTTTACATTTAAATAGGATAGGGGCTGGCTTGTTTGCTAGGGCTATTAACCCAGCTGTAAGAAAAGTTTTAAACTAGGACTAGACAGTGGTGAGGGCCAGAATAAACTAAATGCAAAAAGAATAAGAGGCAGAGAAAAGTTTAGCATAAGAAATAAGTATAGAAGTAGTTATAAAGGTAAGTTTAATTGGTACTATCGTAATGCTAGAAGTATAAGAAATAAAACAGGTTACTTTAGAATTTAGAGTACTGGTAGGAATGGAGAATTTTGCTATAATGTGAATAACTGAAACATGGTTAAACTTAGACAATTTTGATGACAGAAATTTCTTTGAAGTACAGAGTTGTAGACTATTTGTTAGCAGTAGAGCACTAAAGAGAGAGGGGGAGGAGTAGCTTTATATGCAAAATGTGAGTTACATCCTGTTGAAATTGAGGATATCAAAGATAATAGCAAGGAGATTGAATCCATTTGGGTTTCTATTAGCGGATATTAAGGGGAAAGGCTTTCAGTGGGAATTTGATACAGATGTTACTACCAGATGATACTGATGAAATTAGTAAGAAACTTTACAATGAGATTAAGATTTCAGCTGTTAATAAAGCCATAATTATAGGTGGTATTAATTTTAGGCATATAGATTGGGAAATGCTAGAGTCAAACCAGGAGGGAGAAAGGTTTTTGGAAACTGTTCAAGATGGCTTTCTTCACTAATTAGTTAAGGAACCTACTAAAAACAATGTTATTTTAGATTTATCGTTAACTTCAATTTTAAAAATGATTGAGAGGGTGGAAATTATGGAACACCTGGGTGCAAGTGATCATTGATCTATTTAGTTCGTTGTTTTGTAAAAATTAACAGTAAGGATTTCTTTAAATACATTAAGGGTAAAAAAATGTTAGGGTTGGGGTGGGGCCCTTGAGGGATGATATGATGACTATGAGATGGTTGGGTTCTTAAATTGTGCTTTTTCTTCGGTTTTTACTAATGAAGATTTAAGCAATATTCCACATCTTGAACAGTTAATAAATGGAAATAAGATCAAATAAGATGACTGCTTTAATTTTGAGCTTGTTAAAACAAAAATCAGGAAGTTTAAAAATTGATAAGGCTCCTGGGTTAGATAATATTTCCCCAAAGGTTTTGAAGAAGGTTAAGGGTTGGATATGTGAGCCACTTGCTACTATTTTATGCAAGTCCTTGAATAGTGGGCAGGTACCAGCGGAATGTAACTCCTCTTTTCTAAAATCCCATTAGTCTTACATCAGTTGTGGGAAAAGTTTTGGAAAGTATGATAAAAAATGCTTTATAAAGTAATTTAATAAAGTTTAGAATTTTATTGGATAGTCAACATGGTCTCACTAAGGGAAACTCTTGCCTTACAAATCTTTTGACATTCTTTGAAAAGATTACTGCCTATGTAGATGAGGGTAAGGGTGT